GCCCCTCATAACCACGATAGACCGGCTATCGTGGTGTGCGTAATGCATTTTCCGCCTCCCTACGTATAGGGTAGCCCTTTAATTGCTTCGGGCGCAAAAAAAAAAAAACCTCGTGGCCATGGGTGCTGTAAAGCTCTCGAAACGTCGGGTATTTAAAAAGTTAAATATACGCGATAAATTCCGTAAAAACTAGTATTATTTTAATGTGTAGTGTTCGCGTAAATATAAGAAATCATTATATTATATTATAAATTATAATTTAGTATATTATTGTTCTCTGAAAAGTTAATTGATCTCAATAACTAACCTATGAAAAATTATTAATATATCATTTGTTTTTATTTGCACCTAGTCAAGGACCAATTACACTAAAAGAATAGTTGATCTCAGTAAACATATAAAAGTTGAATAGAAGTTTAAGTTTTATTTTCCATTTTTGTACGTATGTGATAAAAGGTAATAAATGTATCTAGTTTAAGTTATAATTATTACAGAACTGAGAAAGTTATTTTGTGAGATTATATCTTTACCAAAGAAGTTTTTAATAAACATTTATTTCATTAACAATCTGTTTTATTTTAAATTTTTAGTATATGTTTCAAGGGGAAAAGAACATTACGAAGTATCATTTATTATTGCCGTGTTCAAACGTCATTACTGTGTGCACGAAGTGTCATTACCGTGAACAATCGTCACTACCGTACCCACATAATGTCATCACCGTGACTCCTAAAACTTCAGGGCCCATATCTCTACTAATTGAGGCCCTAGGAGAGGGCCTTAATTTTTTTAATAATTCACACATTAGAAACTTTCAATTTAAACTCATTTTGCGCTTAAAAATACATTTGTATTTTATTTTTTCCCAATCTGCCCAATTTACGTCAAATGAAATAATTACCCTTTGATAGCTTCAGTGTCGGCGTCAAACTAAACTATTTATTATAAATCGCGTGTTGTGTTTACCTGATTAATTAATGCTACCAGATATAGTGAAACTATTTACAAATGCATTAAACTGTATTTCTTACGATAATATTTATTAAAATTGTTATTAAATCAAATTTACTGCATCAGCTCGTGTCAAAGGCCGAAATCTAGACCCGGCCGGCTTACCGGCGCATCGAACCTACAATATGTTGTCTTTGAGAACCAATGAGAGCCTAACGGAACTAATACTAGCTCAAGAAAATGTAAAGTGGTCAATACTGGGTTTGAGTGAAGTACGACGACTAGGGGAGAGTATAGAAGACCATGGGCATTTTATATTTTATTATAAAGGAGAAACACCAGGCTTATATGGAACAGGATTCTTAATAAAAAATGAATTAAAACCATTTATTGACGAGTTCATTGGCGTCTCAGAGCGTATTGTTATACTTAATATAAAACTACCTCCGAAAAACGAAAAGTGGTCGATTGTGCAAGTCTACTCTCCAACTAAACAATCAAGTAGAACAGAAATCGACATGTTCTACTCCATGTTACAAGACACAATAATCAAACACTCGCACAACAATTTAGTAGTGATGGGAGATTTTAATGCAAGAATAGGGGCAAGAGGAGACGGAGAACAAATGATATTGGGTCCGTATTGTTCAGGCAAAAGAACAAGAAATGGGGAGAAACTTGTCCAACTGGCATATGAAAACAACTTAAAAGTACTAAACACTCTATACAGAAAACGTGAGAACAGATGGACATGGATATCTCCAGATGGTCACCACAAAAACGAGATAGATATACTGACAAACAAAAGTAGACTTTCGGGACTGTAGAGTTTTAAACAATATTAATTTCAACAGCAACCACAGGATGCTAAGAGCTAAGTTACAAATAAATACACTCAATAAAGATAGACCCTTTAAAGTAAAACAAACCAACAGCTTAAGACTAGAAAGTACTGATTCACTAAAAGGAAAGCTAGAACAATTCATAGAAAAAACAAAGGACTTAGACATACAGAGTAAATACAATAAATTCGAAGAACTCCTCTATACTACTAAAAAGGGCAAAATGGAGAGTAGAAACAACAGGACAAAATGGGTAACAAACAAAACTAAAGAACTGATAAGAAGTAGAGCAGACCTTATATTTAACCCTGAAAAGACAAAAACTTTAAGAAAAGACATAGCTAATTTAAGTAATAAAATAAAATCACACGAGAAAAGACCGTCAGAGATATAGATTAGAACAACTGGAAAAATTCATACAAAGAACCGGAGGCACCAAAAAAACAGCTAAACTACTATTGGAAAAACGAGATTGGATACCAAATTTAATAAATAAAAATCATAAATGCGAGAAACGACGCCCTGAAATCATATCAATAGCCACTCAATTTTTTGAAAAATTGTATTCAAGGAAAAACACTGCACAGACAACAATCCTAACAGGAGGAAGTGAAGTACCAGATATAATACACGAAGAAATAGAAAAAGCTGTGAGAACTCAAAAAGCAGATAAAGCTCCAGGATTAGATGGCATAAGTAACGAGTTCCTCATCCTAAATAGAAACCACCTGATAACAATTCTCAAACATCTTTTCAATGAAGTCTCACAAAGCGAGATAATACTTTACCAATGGACAATGTCAACAATAGTACTTCTACACAAAAAAGGAGCTAAAAATAACATTAATAATTATGGACCTATAAGGATATTGTCGAATATATATAAAATCTTCGCAAAAGTTATACTCTATAGAATAACTAGCACGTTGGATGAAAATTAACCAAGAGAGCAGGCGGGTTTCAGGAGCGGATACTCAGCTTTAGACCACATTCATGTCATCAATCAACTACTCGAAAAAGCCAATGAATACAACATAACCTTTTACTGCTGCTTTGTGGATTACAGTAAAGCTTTCGATACAATAGAGCATGAAAAAATTTGGCAGGCACTCAAAAACCAAGGTATTGAAAATAAATACATCAGAATACTAAAAATCTACGATAACAGCAAGGCTAAGATAAAACTAAAGGGCGGTAAAGATATTATAATAGGAAGAGGCGTACGTCAGGGCGATCCGGTATTACCGAAACTCTTCACAGCCGTTTTGGAAGAAGTCTTTCGTCAATTAGACTGGGAGAAATGTGGATTGTCCATTAACGGCGAAATCCTGTCACATTTGAGATTTGCTGATGATTTGATAATCCTCTCGTCATCGAGTGACGGACTGCAGGCAATGCTGAATGACCTGGTTAGAGAAAGTGGCAACGTGGGATTGGTCATGAACACATTAAAGACCGAGGCTATGACCAATGGCAAGGAAGAACCTATTCTGATCAATAATAACCTGATTGAATATGTTAATAAATACATCTATTTGGGCCAGATAATCTCTCCTATAAATCTAACCTCAAAAGAAATTGACAGACGCATTGGAAATGCCTGGAAACAATTTTGGAGCCAAAAAGAAATAATGAAAAATAACGACACTAACATAACCATCAAACGGAAACTCTTTGATATCAGCATACTACCTATACTCACTTATGGCTGCCAAACCTGGGCTCTCACTAAAGCACACATTAAAAAGTTAGAAATATGCCAAAACTCCATGGAAAGGAGTATGATGGGGAAAAGACTATCCGATAGAATAAGAATCGAAACCATAAAGAAACACACAAAAACAAAAGATGTCACAATAATAATAAAAAAGTTAAAATGGAAATGGTCAGGCCATAATAATTAGAGGAAAGGAGAAATGGTCGAAATCGATAATGAATTGGTTTACAGGCCATATGAAAAGGAAAAAAGGTAGACCATGTAGAAGATGGGAGGATGATATCAACCATTTTACTGTCCCATGAGTCATATATGAACATTTCGATTGTTTAACTATTGTGTCTATTTCGCGGACAGGGAAGCTGTTAAAGCCATAGCAGGAGGCTTATGGACGAGAACTGCTAAGATTAGAGAAGAATGGGAAAGGTTGGAGGAGGCCTTTGCCAATAAGTGGCATACAGACAGGGTTGTCGATGTACAAAGTATGTGTTGAGAGTGTAAATATATATAATATATAATCCAGTGTTAGATATAAATTAATCCAGATAGATACTGTAGATGAAATAATGTCTGAAATAAAGGCTATTATTATTATTTTTATTATAAACTACGATACAGAAGAAAATCCTAGTTTGGAGGTAACATTATAAAAAAAAACTTTAAGCTTCTTTTAACCCTTTCCTAGTCTTTGTTAGATAAAATTAAACTTTAATAAGTAATAGAGAGCTTGTATATTTACTGGGACTTGTGTAATAACTGGTCACTAGCTTCTTTGTTTCTTGTGTTTACAGAGTATATTATACCCCATTTTTATTAAAACTGTTTTTATGAACATAGGTATATTAGATTTACATGAATAAATAATATACATGAATAAGCCTAAGTTAAATATTTCTTTAAATCGTTCCATGAGACTGTTGATGAAAGGTTAGGTTGTAAATCTCTTACAGCCGCATAGAAATAGACCCAATAGATCACATAAGACTATCTTTAAGTTTTAGATTTCTATCTCTTATACAGCAAAAGCTGCAGAGCTCATTCTACTTTCTTGTTTAGATATATGGGCCGCACTCAATTTTGCATAGAGAGTAATGCCAAAAAATACAGTGGAATCAACATTTAAAAACACATTGGTGCTCAGATTTTTAACATGTGTTGTAAATTTTATATGTCTCTTAGTATTGATCAGAAGCCTCTGCCCAGAAGTAGGATGTATATGGGCTATTGTTTTTCTTTTTAATATGAAATACATGAGTATTTTTTTCCTTAAAAATAATAAAAACCCAAATTGAGAATTTCATTTAGTCATCATCATCATTACAGCCCTTCACAAGTCCACTGCTGAACATAGCCCCCCCCAAGGTATGCCACAAAGCACGGTCCTTAGCCACCTGCATCCACTGACATGCCATGACATCATTTCATTGAGTTACAGAGTAAATAAAATTCAAAATGTTATTGCTCAATTTACATTTTACTAACTATTACAACTAACAACCATTTAAAGTTTTAAGATATTCCTCATGAGTTAAAAGCTCACTTTTCATTGAATCTGAAATTGCAATACTTGATAGGATTATAGCTATAAAACCACTTGAATCTGGCTCACTTTTTAGAAGTTGAGGATCCTTTATTAACTCTTCATTTATTTCAATAAGTGTTCCTTTCATACCACAAGGCACATCAAAGTTTGTACCATCGTCATATTCAATTTTACATATAACTGACTTTGGATTCAACATTTGGCCTCCTTTCTTACCTTTACCTTTTACAGTATTACTCAACCTATCAATATTATGTACATTAAAATTTATTTTATAATCACAACTCTTCTTAAAAAATAAGTGGCTGGGTGCAAGACTTAGAAGTGTAATACGATTTGAATGAAACATAAGCATGATGTCATTATTTTCAATTCCACCCACATTTAAAATGTACCTTTTACTAAAATATCTGTCAGTAAAGGATTTAAAGGTTGATACATCTGTTAAGTCAACTGAATCCAAGATGTTATACTCCATAGTCATTTTGAATTTGCTTTACAATTGCTGAGCTCTTTCTTGAGCTCGTATCCGTGCTCGAATCTCAGCGTGCCTTTTGAGTGATTCTTCGTAATTTGCTTTTTGTCTTCTCAAACGTTCTGCTTTTAAACACTTTCTCATATCACGATCGTAGTCATTGCAGTATCCCATAAATTTCCTAAAAGGATGCTGAAATTTTACAAAAGATATTTTTATATGTGTACAAATTATGTAAGCGTTTTTCAAAAAATATTTTTATATATAAATAATTATGTAATAAATATTAAAATAATCCTTAAGATCATAATCAACAAGACAATAAAAACCGATCTAACCTTCAATCATCAATATTTTACAACCTTCTAAGCGTACAACTAATTATAATTTAGATGAAACGTTAACACCTACGTTATTAAGCCTGTACAATGGTATTCAAAAATGAATTCACAGTATGTAAAATACAACAAACAAGAAATCTTTAACTGAAGGGATTTATAAATTTAAAAGGGCACGCACTAACCTCTGCATGACAATCTTGTAATTTTTTTATAAGAATATTACATTCCTCAGTATGCAAGTGTGGTGATAAATCTGTATGCATCCCGTAATTTATTTGCTAAGAAAATAATACTTGGAATATGTAGTATTTTTGTTTTATTTTTTAAAATGTCACGGTGTCGATCGATCATAGAGTATATTTTTATAACCAAAATAGAGTAATCCAAAGTTCCAAAGACTACAATATTATGTATATAGGTAAATTATATTTCGGCCGTTCAGAGAATGCGTTCCTGACACCTATCAGTTAGTCACGACTAGGGCTTTTTGTACCACCTGTCAAAAATACTTTTGTTTCTTTTTAACAAAGCAGTAGCTTCATTAGAAAAGGGAGAACCAACAGTTTGTCAATTGTTTATTTTGACAACACTTTCGTGTGACGTCATTAGCTCTTCCATGCGTGACTGCGTCGCCATGTTAAGTGCTGAGTTTTGTGGTAGATCTGCTGTCAAACTGTTGAATGCTAAAGGTTTTTTTGTTGTGTAGTGCAGTGCCTTCATCTTATCTTATAGTAGGTGTATCTTCTACTTATATTTTATTATGTTACTAGATAACCACCTAAATTTGATTTGATTGTAACTCTTAATTGAGAGGCATTTCTGAGTTTTTGCAAAACTACCGTACGGCAATTGATTTTTTAAATTAAAATAATTTTGTGAAGCATAATTAAATCACGTCACGTGTTATAAATAATAATAATAATATAGTATATAATATTTGTGATGAATTATGTGCAGATAAATTAATAATATGTATTGATTTTTAAAACAGTTTATTTCATTTTTACTCAAGTAATCATTATTATTTTACATTAATAATATGAGATCTGGGATCACCATCCCAGTAATACTATAAACACAAAAGAAGGATTTAATTTCTATCTACACAAAATCCATAAATCTGTCGGTCACATTTATTCGCCAGATAAGTTATTTGACGATTGAAAATTCAGCCCTGTATCTATGTAAATACCTACAAAATAAAGTAAATTAAGCAACAAATCCAATTATATAAAATGAGAAAAAAATCATATTAGTTAAAATATCGATATCAGCTGCGCATTGCAGAGTTACAACCCAATAAAAGGCGGCCATTTTATGTGCTTTTTTTTTTTTCTCCTTTTTTTAAAAAATTTCGTTCCTTTTCTTAAAAAAAACCCCCTTTTTTTTTTTTTTTTTTTTTTTTATTTATTTATTAAAAAACAAAAAAAAAAATATATTATTAAAATTTTTTTTTTTTTTTTTTTATTAAATTTTTATTTTTTTTTCATTTTTTGTTTAATCTTTTTTTTTTTTTTTTTTTTATTTTTTTAATCTTTTTTGTTTTTCGTGGGGAAGTATTGTGCTGGGCGGCGTAACCTTTTATTTGAGCTCAGATTAGCTCAATCGCGTTATATTGGCAATGATACGGTGGAATTCTTAGAACGCAATGACCGTACTACAGAGCCAGTTCATCGATTTCGTATCGCACATTTGCCACTTTATTTTCTTTAACTAATTTAATTATCTCTGGTTTTAGCATCTGTATATTTGCGTCAATGCCTTTTGCTTGTAACCAAGCCACCATTTCTTCTTTTTTATTAGCTTAGGTAGGTGGTTTCTGTATTTGAACCGAGTGATAGGAGGCGTTATCCATGAATATTACAGAAGGCTCTGGTAGGCTGGGCAAAAGCACGTTCTGGAACCACTCTTTAAATGTAGTGGCATTCATTTCCTCGTGGTAGTCATTTGCGGTTTTTGATTGAAATGCCAGTAACGCGTTCTCCACAAAGCCGTATTTTGCAGAACCTGCGTGGCATATTATCAGACGGGCCCCCTTACCCATTGGTACTTTCGACGTCGACGCTTGTGTCGTGGCATATTATCAGACGGGCCCCCTTACCCACTGGTAATTTCGACGTCGATGCTTGTGTATCATCCGTCTATTTTGATGATGATTTGCTACAACAAACCCGCTTACCACCAGCACTAAGATGATATGTCTAAGACACATCGGTTAGCGAGTCCAAGTTTACTCCATAATATTCCTTTTCAAGTCCCTAATAAGGACTAGTCATTTTGCTACAGTACTAGGAGCAGTCGGTCACCCGACCACTCCATACAATGCTTATGCATCAAGGAGATCTCCTATAATATTGCTTTTGTATCATAGACCTTAATTTCATAAGTCATGCATATATTATAGGATTCGAACCCACGACCCTACTATTGTAATGCAAATTCATCATGGAGACCTTCTATAGTATTGCTTTTGTATCATAGACCTTACTTTCATAAGTCATTCATATATAGGATTCGAACCCACGACCCTACTATTGTAATGCATATTAATCATAGAGACCTTCTATAGTATTGCTTTTGTATCATAGACCTTACTTTCATAAGTCATTAATATATAGGGTTCGAACCCACGACCCTACTATTGTAATGCATATTAATCATAGAGACCTTCTATAGTATTGCTTTTGTATCATAGACCTTACTTTCATAAGTCATTCATATATAGGATTCGAACCCACGACCCTACTATTGTGCATATAATCAAGAGACCTTTATAGATTGCTTTTGTCATAGACCTTACTTTCATAAGTCATTAATATATAGGGTTCGAACCCACGACCCTACTATTGTAATGCATATAATTCATAGAGACCTTCTATAGTATTGCTTTTGTATCATAGACCTTACTTTCATAAGTCGTAAATACATATATAGAGTTCGAACCCACGACCCTACTATTGTAATGCAAATTCATCATGGAGACCTTCTATATTACTGCTTTTGTATCATTAAATTTAATATCATAAGTCCCTAATATAGGACTAGTCATTGTGCTACAGTACTTCAGGCATTCGGGCTCCCGACCACCCCATATATATGTACAACTGCAGGTATGTATCTCCGGCAGCTCCTCTATACAATACATCTATACACGAACACCTTCCATAACTTAGGAAACTTTTCTTTTATACGTGAACTCCTTCCACAACTTAGGAAATTCCTTTGATGATTTGGAATTCTTTTATACATGAACTCCTTCCAAGACTTAGACAATTTTTAACAAATTTTCTAATTATCTTATAAATGTTATTTATCTTTATTTTTATAATATTTTTGACTTGTATTTCTATTATTTATCTTATTTTAAATATTTTTTCAAGTTTTTAATAAATTTATTTATTATGGAAGACAATATTTTGCCTTTAATTTACTATGTTATTGGTCTAATGTCAGAAATGAATTTATATTAACTTTATGGTTATTAATGTAATTTAATTGTTTATTATATTTCTTTTAAGACTATTTTTGACGCCCCTTTATATTGAATTTAATTATTAATAATAATATTGTGCCGTCACACTATCAACAACAATTGGCAAAGGTGTGATGTGGACGTTACACATAACCTTTGTTTTGTCCATGTTCATCTTAAGACCAATCCGTTGTGAGACACTATTAAGGTCATTGAACATAGTGCCAGCAACGTTGCCATAAGGACTATATCGTCGACTAATTGAAGATGAGTGATGTGCTCGCCATAGACGTAAATACCGTATCCTTTTCAGTCCAGTTGCCTGAAAACGTCTTTCAATCCAGCGGTGAAGAGTTTCGGGGATATTATGTCACCCTGTCTTACACCTTTCTGCAGTTGGATAGGTTTCGTAATCTGGTTCTGTACTGGGATAGCCATCGTTGCCCTTTTAGATCCCATAATATTGTTTTGAAAAATCGTAATTTTTGTTTAATTTTTGCACTTTTTATGTACATTAGGAAATCTGAGAACTTTACATGTCCTATCTAATTGTATTGAGAGTTTCACACCAATATTACTAAACAGATTGATTGGTGGTACAACAAGTTACACTATCATGAAGTCAAGTCAAACTTTTGGTTCTAAGTTATATCTTACCAAGCACATTTGTTGCAGGTAATTGATTTAAGTATGTAATTCTTGGCTTTGTTCCTTGCTGCTGTTACTATATTTTTTTAAATTATGTACTTGTCTATTAAATTAACGACAATTTAGTTTTAATTCATAATTTAATTAATTAATTTGGGTAAATAATATGTAGTTTCCGTTTACTAACTAGATGGCGTTGGCGTCGAGTTAGATCGCGCTATGGTTTCGTTCCCAAAAAGTTATGTTATAGGTGCCGATGGGCCGCTCTTATCCTATAGAAACGGGGGTAACCTTTGTTGTCCGTGTTGGTTGATGATTGATGTGTTTAATTTTCCTGCGAATAATAATTATTTTTCTACTTACAAGCAATTCTTACGTATTTATTCGATTACTTTTCATTAATGATGTGCCAACTTGGAAAAAATGAAACTCGATTTAACCCGAATTAAAATTCACGTAACTCGGGTTGAATTCGGGCTACGTAACTCGAGTTAACTAGATTGAAGAGTTAATATTGTCTTAAAATT